TTTGGCCACGTGCTAAGCGCTGGGAGGGAGAGAGGCAGGAAAATCCAGGCATCGCCCCACCCTCAAAGTGCTCAGGGAAACAAGACTGGGCCCTGAAAGCCGGCAAGGGCTTCTGTGAGTCAGAGGCCCCGAGTTCAAGTTTGGACTAGCTTTTTGGCGAGACCTTAAGCAAACTTGGCCCTCTCTGGGCCACAGAAAACCAGAGTATGGGCTTCAGGACCCTAAGTCCCTCAGCCACCTAGGGAAAGAGAAAAGGAGACGCAGAGGTGCCCTCTGAGAAGGGTGGCACAGCAGAGGAAGGAGGTGAGGGATCAGGAGGGACGTCCGTATGTAGGCACCCATGGCACTATTTTTTCCCTAAAACTTGTTCCCCAACAACAAGGCTCCTCCATCAACCTGACCAACTGATGAAGCCCCTTCTGCAGGCCTTCTTAATCATTGAATGCTCAGCACACAGGAGCTGGCTGGGAAAAGCCACTTTTGACCACAGGATCCCATTTCCAGGAAGCACCTTTGGAGGCCGAGGGCCCTGAGGAGCGTCAGTGCTGGCTTTGTGGCAGGCTGTGTACACAGCAGTTCACAAGACCTTGGCAGGGCGCCTCCTTTTTCTTGGCCTCTCCAGGTGGAATAGATTTGAACCCCCAGAGAACTGAAACACGCCGGCAAGAGGCGTGTGTCTGGAGCGGGCTCAAGGTCGCTGGGATGGGGAACCCAACTCTCTGTTTCTTCCCGAGAAGTCTCGGGCAAGTCACTACACTTTCAAATCCATTTCTCATTCCTGCTCTAGTGCCTCTGGCAAGTCTAGTGTCTGAGTCGCCTGACGTGGGCAGGAGAGCCATTGACACCTCACCTGCAGGTCTTATGTCATGATCGATCATTTTTCCGCTTCACTGATGCCCATTGTGAACTCAGAGCAGAATGGAGTCTCTGTCCTCGCCCAGGCAGTGGCGCTCAGAGGCATCCACACTTCTGACTGCAATGGCCATCCACGCTGCCAGTTCTCAGCCGTGGCGTGCACGTGTGTGTGGGTGCATAGGTCCACGTGCTCACATACAGAAGTCCTGCTCTGTCTCTCTGAGTCCCTGGAAGCAGAGCCACTCACTGAACCTGAAACTTGTGGGTTTGGTTTTGTTTTGGTTCCACCCCACAACACTGGGATTACGCTTGACCTTGTCGTGGGTGTTGCTGAGTTCAAGGTCCTTCAGCTTGTGCTGTAAGCGGGCTCCACTCTGTCACCACCGCCCCCCCCAGATCCTTCCTGAACCCCCTGGACTCTGCGGGTCCTCCTTTGTGCCTGGCTGGGCAGCCGCATTTGTTCTCTTGGGTGGCTACTGTTTGGACTCGGATTTCCTCTGCTGCTGCCGTGCCACAATGCTGTCTCTCTGCCCTTCCAGGTCTCCACCCCAGGACAGGGACCACCCATCTGGTGTCTTCTCGGATCCTCAGCCTCACCAGGGGCAAGGGACAGGGCCTCTGGGAGAGAGAGGAATAGACGCCCTCAGCCTCAGCACTGGGGACAGCGCCTTAACAGAGTCAAGCGTTGGCTTCTGCTGCACCATCTTCATCCACAGAAAGAGGCTGAGAAGGGTCCCTGAACCCAGCCTGCCATCTCCCCTGGCCCTAGCCGGGCATGGACCAGCAGTTGTGAGCAGCCAAAGCTGATGCCTGGCCCCCAGGGGGGCATAGGAGCCCCCACCATGAGCTTGGGCAAGATGTCTCCTGTAGGATGGGTGTCCAGTTCCCACGGAAAGAGGCGACTGACAGCAGACATGATCAGCCCCCCGCTTGGGGACTTCCGCCACACCATGCACGTGGGCCGAGGTGGGGACGTCTTCGGTGACACTTCCTTCCTCAGCAACCATGGGGGTCGCTCTGGGAACACCCACCGCTCACCCCGAAGTTTTCTGGCCAGGAAGCTCCAGCAGGTGCGCCGGGCGGGGGTGCCTCCTCGAAGGATGGCTTCCCCAGCTTCAGCGTCACCCGCCCCGCCTGCCATTTCCCCCATCATCAAGAATGCCATTTCCCTGCCCCAGCTCAACCAGGCCACCTATGACAGCCTGGTGGTGGGCAAGCTCAGCTTTGACAGCAGTCCCGCCGGCTCTACGGATGGCCGCTCTGGTTACGGTGAGGACCTGGGTTCACAGTCTCTTTTTCCATTGCTGGGATTCAAACCCAGAGAAATTGTGGGGTTCTTCCAGGCCTCCATAGCAACCTTTCCCCATAGCTGTTCAAGTCTATGAGCTGTTGGAGTCTGGCCGCCAACCTAGGCTGAGGATGAGGGGGTGGTGGTGGCATTAGGGAAGTGGGGTGCCAGCCTACTTAGGCCTCATAACCCCGAGGCTGAGATAGATATAAAGTTTGTATTATAGCAACCCTCTAACTTGCTCTGTGACTCTGGCGAATCTTTCTCATCTCTGGGCTTTGTGGCCAGTCCACCCCTTCCTGTCTCCTTCCATGAAGCAGCCCCCACCTCAGTGTCCGAGGGTATCACGGTGAGACTCTCTGAGCCTGCTCTGGTTTCCAGTCCTAGTAAGCACATGGACTGCACTCCAGTCCTCACCTCTACGGGTCCCTTAGTCTCAGTGCTAAGATTCAGCGAAGCGATGAGGCAAGTCTACTCTACACAGTGAGTTCCAGGACAGCCTAGGCTACATAGAGAGACCCTGTCTCAAAACACCAGACAGGAAAAGATTGAATAAAGTCAGCCGTGACCTAGGCAGCTCTGAAGCAGGTGCTCAGGACAGCTGTTATTTGAACAAAGGCTCCTGTAACTTGGCAAATTGATTCAGGTGTGAATGCCACCTTGGCAGGCCAACTCTCCAGGGGACCGTGGGTTACTGCTGCCCCCTCATGGTCATGCTTTGCATTACAGTCTTGGTGCCACTGTATCAGACCTGGTGGTCCTGCAAGTAAGGGTTGGGCTGGTAACCTTTGGAGGACATGTCTCTCTCCTGAGAACCTATGATTTCTCTGTTCAGGCCTTGGCTTCTGGTTCCTTCGTATGCCCACAGATAAACTAACATGCAGCCATCGGTCAGTTTCATAGAGGGAACCAGGAACCATGGCCAAGTCCACATCAGGACTGAGTGTCAAGATTCAAGCTGCAGGCAGAGTTCCAACCCCGACAGACTGGCATTGGGCAAGGTCTGCCCATCTCAAGCTGAACTTCCACTTGCTCTTCTGTAAAGTGGCATCAGGATTAGTTTCAGATCGTGTGGAAGGCTGTGGGGTCCGTGTAGAGGCCAACAAGGGATACAGCTTTCCAAGGTCCCCATGGTAGATCAGGATCGTCCTGGCTCTTTGTCTCCAAGAACGGGCTAGGGACCCCAGCCCTGACCTCTGCCCCATTTCTCTGCTAGGCCTGGATTCTGGGTTCTGCACCATCTCGCGCCTGCCACGTGCGGAAAAGCACAGCAACCGAGACCGTGACTGTGACCGCGACCGGGACCATGCTCAAGACCGAGAGCAAAATTCTTTCCCCTCCGAGCCCGAGCTTCGACGCTCTGACTCCCTCTTGTCTTTCCGTTTTGACCTTGACCTAGGCCCCTCGCTTCTCAGCGAGATGCTAGGGGTCATGAGCCTTTCAGAAGCCCCAGCAGCTGAGCCCACCACAGCCCCTGCTGCCAAGCCCCCCGCCTCAGCAGCAACCCCCGCTGCCCCTATTGCAAAACCCCCAGCCCGTGCCATAACCACCCCAGACCCTGTAGCAAGCCTCGCAGCTCCTGCAGCAAGCCCCCCAGCCCGTGGACATTTCCCCAATGGGGTCACTGCTGTTCTGGGCGCTGTGGCTGAGGTAAAGCCCAGCCCGGTGGGAGAGAATCCCCAGGTGCTTCCCAACATGGCCTTTGGCAGGCACGGAGCCAGCTGGGGTGCCAGCCGGGCCAGCCGCCATTACACTGAGATGGATGCGCGGCGGGAGCTGACAGGGGTGCTACCTCAAGTCCACGGCTCCTGGGAGAGCCTGAACGAAGAATGGAGTGCACCTCCGGCCAGTGACAGAACCCCAGTGCCCAGCACGGTGCAGGTCAATTCCTTTGAATTTGCTGACGCTGAGGAAGATGATGAAGTCAAAGTGTGAGGGACTGGGCATGGGCTCCAGGTCCTGCCATCCTGAAGACTCACAGAAAGCAGAGGGGCTGAGCTCACCCACCGTCACCTAACAACTACACTGCCCACAAGACATGGACAGTTGCCCAACTGGAGTTAGCCCCACATCCTTCCTGGTCTATGGAAGGCAGACATTGGTAAGGGGGTCCTTACTGCTCTGACCCACCTCCCTGCGCTGCCTCTAGGCCCACTAGCCCTTCAGTCATACCCTGTGCCAACCCCATGGCCTCATAGTGTGGGCTTTGTGCCCCAGGATGCTTCCCGGGTGGGGTAGGGCTGGGCTAAGGACCATACAGGGCCATTGTCTCTGTGGGACTGCCTGCTCCTGCTCATTTAGACTGCCCCAGAAGGCCACCACTGTGTCCTCAATAGCCCTATTCCAGGCTCCTCTCCAGTTCCCAGAGAGAGGTCAGGTGTAGAGTCTTCTGTGAACCCCAGATCCGCCTCCTGTGCCTGACCGTAAAAGCTAACTGCCTAAGAAGCCAGGGAGGCAGCCCCTGCTGAGGTGCCCTTTCCCCTCCTGGGAGTTTGGAAAGTTGAGGACCCCCTTTCAGGCCCCCCAGCTAGAAGGGGGGCAGGCAAGGTAATGAGTAACCAGCCTGGAATGCTTAACCGATAAAAGGCCCAGGTGGGACCCTTATCTGCAGTTCCTGGAACACCCTGGCCCCAGGTGCCTGGAACCAGTATCTGCCCCATAATCCTGCGGGACAGCTTGGCAGGTGCTCAGGTCACCAGGAGGAAGGGAAGTTTACAGGCATGGGGTGGCTTGGGAGAACCTCCCATCCTCTTCCCTTGGCAGCACTACACCCTGTGCCTCAGTTTCCAACCCTGCATCGAAGGTGGGGGAGCATTAACACGCATGGGAAGCGCTAACATTTCTCACTGTGGAAATAATAAATGAGGAATCTTTTATTTGCTCTTGACCTAGGGGCTGGGGTTAGTCAGAAGGAGCGTGGGAAATTACAGGACCTAAAGACCGCGGTCCTAATGGGGCTTGCAGAGAGGGCCGAAACGGATTTAGGGACTGAGGTCTTGTTCTGAGGAGGTGCTGCGTGCTCACTCAAGCTTGAAGGAGGAGATTTGGAGCCCGGCCATACTTAGGTAGCGCAGGTGGTTTTGACCCAGCCTGTTGGGGAAGGTCACCACGTGTCCGTCAGGTAGTGTCACCTTGAACTCATTATTATTGAAGGCCACAGTGATCTGTAAGGAGAGGAAACAATGTCAGGAGAGCCTGGGAAGGGTCCTCACGGTGCCTGACGGTGCTCCCACGTCCAAGCAGGAGGGCCATCATTTGGGCTCCCATTTGACCTCACCTTGACGTCCTCTCCTGGACTGAAGCACTTGTTACTTTCTCGTTGCTCTTGTCCCCACCTGCCACCATCACGAGAGTTGAAGACGATGGTGGATTCGTTGAAGCGAGGGTTAAAATGCAGGTTCAGCTTGTCTTGCTCCTGGCCCAGGTTAATGGTGAAGCTACAGGGAGGAGTGGCAGGAGAACAGCTTAGGACAGGGGACTTTGGTTGACCACAAGCTGGAGGAGCGAGTCAAGATGCCGCTATTGAGATCTGTAACTTGCAGCCAGTAGGCTGTGCACAGTGGTGGCACCTTCTGTTTGGAGTAGGCACAGGCCGTTAGCGGGGTGATTAGGAGTGACAATTGCAGGTTGTCTGTCCTGGAGGAGACAGTTGAAGGGCTGTCACCAGAGGGATGCAGGCAGGATCACTAGAGAAGCCTGGGTTAGCTATTCAGAGTCCCTGAAAGTAGGACCTTTGGGGTGTGGGGTTCCGTCATGGGTGAGGGTTCTCAGACCAGGCATATCCGCATGTTTCTGCAAGCGAGGAGCCTTTTTCTCTTAGCTCCTAGTCTGTGTGTCTGCCTCCTTCCTAACACAGGAGCTAGAGGTTTTATCTCACGAAATGCTGGCGGTGCTGAGCAGCCAGGGAGTTAACAGCAGCACGCTCAGGTAGAGGAAAAGGGGGCCTTTGCTGCCCCCTGGTGACAGCCTCTGGTTAGAGTCACAGGACCTGGTTAAGAGGGTGGTGAGCAGGTTGTGTATGCTTCAGCACAGGCTTCAGACCTGCTGGGTCAGGCAGAGTGCCACCCTTCTCCACCTGCCCCTTTGTTGACAGTCGAGACCAGGAACGGAGAGCAGTGTCTGTCCTGACATTCTGAGGGTTCCTAACCCAAAGGACGCAAGGGCAACTCCTAACAGGAACCAGCAAGGACGTGGTAAGGAGCATATAAAAAAAGAGTCGCTGCTCCCTTAGCCTTTGAGGTCCCAGTCCTCAGCCCCGCCCACACCTCGCTCACCTGTTAACATCCTTGTGGATCTTGCCTTTAATTTTCAGGGTCATCCCTGATTTCATGTCCAAGTTTGTGATCTCAAATTTCTCCTGGAGCAACAGAACAGAAGGCTTCAGGGAATCATGAAAGGGACCCTTTGCCCTGCTGCCGTCTTATGCCATCCTGCCATTCTGGATGTCTCTATTACCTCTCTGCCCTCATGGAGACCACAGCATTGTGACTCGGGTTTCCCAGAGCCCCCTTAGCCTCTGCTTCGCTCTCCTCCACCCCACAACCCAAGAAGAGAATGCCTAGGGCTGGAAGGTCACGGAACGGGCAGCCTGACCTCTGCAGGTCTTACAATTTCCCAGTGTTCAAGTAACATGCTGCCTTTAGCACACCCAAAACATTGGTGTATTGCAGAAATGACCACGTCGGGCTGAGCATGGTGGCATATACCTTTAATCCTAGCTCTTGGGAGGCAGAGACAGGTAGCTTTTTGTGAGTTTGAGGTCAGCCTGATCTACACAGCAGGTTTCCAGCCAGCCAGAGCTACATGGTGAAACCCTGTCTCAAAAAACAAACAAACAAACAAAAACCCAAAGCAAGAAGACGTGGTGATCCATACTTGCAATCCAAGTCTGGGGGGCAGAGTCAGGAAGATCCCTGGGGCTCCATGGGCAGGCAGTCTAGACTGAGAGACCTTGTCTCAAAGGAAGCAGGTTTTTTTTAAAGATTTATTTTATTAATTATGTATACAGCGTTCTGCCTGCAGGTACACCTGCAGGCCAGAAGAGGGCACCAGGTATCATTACAGATGGTTGTGAGCCACCATGTGGTTGCTGGGAATTGAACTCAGGACCTCTGGAAGAGCAGTCAGTGCTCTTAACCTCTGAGCCATCTCTCCAGCCCAAAGGAAGCATTTTTTTGGGTGATGGCTAAGGTTGCACACACACACACGTGTGAGTGCAGCCATACACATACACTAAAGGGGGTGTGAGAGAATGGTCAGAATACATTGTGTGTGAGTATAAAGTTGTCAAATAACAAAACTTGCCAATCAATCCAGGCTGGGATGGAGCTAAGTGGTAGAGCACTTACCTAGCATGCAGAAAGTCCCAGAATTCCAAACCCACCCCTTAAAAAAAAGTCAGAAGCAGTTGCTGAGTACCCACTGTGCGACAGATGTTGAGGGAGGCTCCAAGACCAATAGCACCCACTTTCAAGCCAGTTGCAGGAAGTTCAGCATCCCGTTTGCGAGGCCCAAGCATAGGGCCTGACCCAGATGGCAGAAATGGGGTGGCCACCCCTGCATTTCTGTATTCTGTATCTAGTATTCCTCTGCCCTCGCCTCTAACCAGGGCATCAGTAGTACCCCAGTTTCTCAGTAGTACCCCAGTTTCTTGTCAGCTGACTCCTCTATCTTTTCTTAATGAATTTATTTTTTATGATTTATTTACTTTTGTTTTTATGTGCTTTGGTGTTTTGCCTGCATGTATGACTGGGTGAGGGTGTCAGATCCCCTGGAACTGGAGTTACAGACAGCTGTGAGCTGCCATATGGGTGCTGAGAGTTGAACCTGGGTCCTCTGGAAGAGCAGCCAGTGCTCTGAAGCTCTGAGCCAGCTCTTCAGCCCCTGACTGGGGAAAGGGAAAGTGTCCAGGCTGAGTTTCCAAAGCCCACTGCTTTGAAATATTCATCCTTCACGCTTGGGACCAGAGGGTGACAGCTGAGCTGAACAGCTCCTATGGACAGCCTTTCTGCACTGTGGGCTTCATTTATCGACATGAATCTATCTGATTCCTTCTTACCCTGTATTACTATTTTTTAAATCTTATTTTCTTATATTTTATGTATGAGTGCTCTGCAGGCCAAAAGGGGGCGCCAGATCTCATTACAGATGGTTGTGAGCCACCATGTGGTTGCTGGGAACTGAACTCAGGACCTCTGGAACAGCAATTAGTGCTCTTAACCGCCAAGCCATCTCTCTAGCCTACTAGTAGTAGTAGTAGTAGTAGTAGTATTGTATGTATGACCTGCATGGATGTCTGTGCATCATATGCATGCCTGGTGCTTGCAGAGGCCAGAAGAGGGCATTGGATGTCCCTGGAATTGGAGTTACAAACAGCTGTGAGTTGCCATGAGGGTGCTGAGAATCGAACCCAAACCCAGATCCTCTGGAAAGGCAGCCAATGCTCTAAACCACTGAATCACATCTCCAGTCCCTTGCCTTGTATTTTGTTGACAAGCGTCACCAAGGATTCCTGAATCAAGTCCCCTGTCTGGGTGGGGCTTGGGGATGAGGTCAAGAGCACAGCTGTGGGAAGGTTGTTCGTCCTTTGCCACTACAAAGAAGGATGGGGGATGGCTGATTTGAATGCAAGGGAGGCTTGACACCCTGCCCAAACACCCCCACTTGCTATGTAGCCCAGGCTGCCTTTGAACTGGTGATCCTCCTACACTGATCCCCAGCTCTACCTCTGGTCAGGTGACTTGAGGGCAGCCTCACCACTCTGGGCCTGGGTTACCTATTGGTGCTATGAGGGGATTATCGGGGAGGAGAGAGACGAAAGTAAAAGAGTGGTAAAGTGACTAAAATCAAGAAGGCCAAGGGTGTGTCTGGGCCACCAAGCGTCTCCCTGAGGGGCAGGGGCGAGGATATCACTGTCCTTTCCAGCACTGACACCCGGTCACACGGACATCCTACATACTACCTACACTGGCTCAGATGATGTCATTCGCCAAACACACACATGCGTCCTATTCGCCCCACCTGGCACCTGCTACTGCGACCTTGAAAATAGGGTCTTGGTACAACCTAATACAGGACCAGATTGGTCTAGGATAGGCCCTCAATGCGCTGGAGCTAGATGAAAAAGGAAGGGAAATGGGACCAGAGGGGTGGCTCAGTGGTTAAGAGCTGCTCTTGTAGACAACCCAGGTTTGTCTCCCAGCACCCACAGGGTGGCTCACAACCATCCATAATTCTAGTTCCAGGGGATCCAATGCCTTCATCTAGCCTCTGTGGGTACCAAGAATACACATGATATAGATACACACATGTGTGCACACACACATGTGCACATACACATACACAGGAAAAGAATACAGAATAAATATTTTTTAAAAAAAAAACTGAAAGGGAAAGGAACTGGGTACAGAAACACCGCCCCCCAAAGGGAAGGCCATATGCAGAGGGGCAAGCCCTGTAACGGAGCATCTGGAGATAGGACCTGTGGGTGCCCACATCCACAGGAAACTGCAATACGTACGTAAAGCTCGTCCCCAGAGCCTTCAGGGAATGCCAGGCCCTGCCCACCCTGGATTGCAGACATAGACAGGACGAAGAGAGAAGTCTCTGTGGTGGTCAGCCCCTTATTTCAAAGTGGCTTGTCTCAACAATTCTAGGAAATGGACCTACCATCTAAGCCCCAGAGAATGCCATGTAGTCCCATCCCAAACACGTCAGGGGAGACCAAGGCCCTGGGAGAGAGGCATCCACCTGTCTAAAGTCACAGCTGAGTCAGATTGGAACAAAGGCTCAGCAATCTTCAGAGAGTGAAACACCTTTGCAAATTGTAGATGGTGGCCTTCTGTAACATCATCTTGAGCCTCGGTCTCTCTCTCTCTCTCTCTCTCTCTCTCTCTCTCTCTCGCTCGCTCGCTCTCGCTCTCGGTCTCTCCCTCCCTCCTTCCCTCCATCCCTCCCTCTCTCCCTCCCTCCCTCTCTCCCTCTCATTTCCCTCTGGTTTATCAAGACAGGTTTTCTCTGTGTAACAGCCCTGACTGTCCTGGAACTCACTTTGTAGACCATGCTTGGCCTTGAGCTCACAGAGATCCGCCTGTCTCTGCCCCCGAGTGCCGGGATTAAAGGCATGTGCCACCATACCCAGCCTCTTTTTCTCTTTTGAGACAGGGACTCCGTATGTACCTCTGGCTGGCCAGGAACTTACTGTGTAGACCAGGCTGGCTTCAAACTCAGAGCTCCTTTTGCCTCTGGCCCTTGTATGCTGGGCTTGCAAGCTGCATCCCCACATACAGTTTGTGCGGTGCTGGAGATCAAACCCAGGGCCTCGTACATGCTGGGCAAGCACTCTACCCATGTGGTTCCTTTAAAAGTACGTTACTTTTGTGGTGCTGAACATACTAAATACACACTCTCTCATTGATATGGAACCTTTTCTCAGCCCCTGAACCTCAATTTCTCGTCTTTGTGAAACTCAGTAGTGGTTATCAGTCATAATTAATATCACCGTCACTGTTCTCACAGAGAGGTCCTGGCCCTCAGCCTGGTGGAGGCAGAGAGATGGGCGGCTTCAACGCTAAGGGGTTTAGAGACCATCCACCCAACTTTGTTTTTTTTTTTTTTTCTTTTTGAGATGGGGTCTCTCTGTGTAGCTCTGGCTATCCTGGAACTCACTCTGTAGACCAGGCTGGCTTTGAACTCAGAGATCCACCTGTCTCTGCCTCCCAAGTGCTGGGGTTAAAGGTGTATGCCACCACCTTTAATCCCAGCTTTTTTTTAAGCTCATGGAGAAACTGAGATGAAGAGAAGGGCAGCGGTAGAGGACCCCCAAACACCCTACCCTAACCCACAGCAAAGACAAGTGAGTGGAGGGAAGTGGGCCCCAAGGACCAGCATCCTCACCGACATGGTGACAGCTCCCAGCCACAGCTCTCCCAGTCACTCCCAGAGGCTCGTGTGCAAGGTATCACCTCTTGGTCAGCTTTATATCCCAGAATATTACACATTAACTACCCCAAGGCCATAAATAAGGACTTTGACCTTATTATTCCCTAATATCTCCTGGCCTGCATTTGCAAATACTCAACAAACAGGAAGACAGATCCTCACCCCGCCTCCCAGTTCTGAGCATCCTCCTGGTCTCCCTGCAATTCCTACCAGCCTCCATGGTCAGTACTCCACAGAGCCCAGGGGAGGAGGCCCTAGTACCACCCCCACACAAACCACAGACACCCAGAGCTTGGCAGGTCACCCAATCCCCCTGCTGAGCCCACCCAATCCCCCTGCTGAGCCCAGCTCCTACAACCACAAAAAGACAGGCTAAGTCTGTAAAAATGTCCAGGCTTCTAATTTTCAATGATGTCATGAGTCATTCGAAGACTTTTTTTTTCCTTTTCTCATCCATTCTTTTTTCTGATTACACATATAACTCGTTTCTTCTTTTTCTTCTTGTGAAACAGAGTCTGCCCATTTTGCCCAGGCTGGCCTTGAACGCTCTCTTGTCCTCCCACTTCTGTGCCTAAGTGCTGGGATTCCAGGCAGAAGCCCCACATCCAGCTGCATGCATGTCTATTTCAAAAGGGAAACATGGTAGAGCCAAAGAAACATCTAGGGCCGGTGAGATGGCTTGGCGGATAAGGGAACTTGCTGCCAAGCCTGACCAGCCAAGTTTGATTCCCGGAGCTCACATGATGGAAGGAAAGAACCAATTCTTACAAGTTGTCCCTCTGACCTCCACACATGTGCACACACACAGAGACACACAGAGACACACACACACACAAATAAGTATAATTTAAATGTTTAAAAGCATCTATAAATATCTATTCCTGTCAAAAGAGTATTTTTAAAAGGCCTTGGAGCATGGCTGAGTGTTGAAACACTCTCCTTAGCAAGCCCAGGTCCCTGGAATCCAGCCTCAGCCTCAGCCATTACTAAAGGAAGCAGAAGGAAGAGGATGCAAAAGCGGACCATTCTGTAAGGGCTGGGTGGTTCAGTGGTGGAGCGTGCACTCAGCATGAACACCCTGTAGCTTCCACCCCTGGCACCGTGCACCAAACAGTGTGTTCTGCTGGGACACAGACAGAACGTGCAGAAGGAGCCCAAGGGCTCGGGGTGCTGAGAGTTTACATGCTTCGCCAATTGTTTTCTGTGAATTTTGTGATGGTCAGGCTCGATCTACACCGTTAAAGAAAGGCATTCCGATATAGTGCCGCTGCCAGGAGAGGACCTGCCCTCCGTCTATCCTTCCAGTGGTGTCGGTGGATTTATACCATAGGCAGTCTGTACGATTGTTTATCCTGCTTCATTGGGAACCCTGAGACCTACAGATCTGCATTTCAGAACCATGTGTCCCTGGCTGAGAAATCCTCCAACTCTCCGAGGCTTAGTTTATGGGACCAGGTTCCTGCCTCTGAGCACCGACATTCAGCCTGTTCCCTGTTAAAAACGTAGCTCTGTGTGTGTGTGTGTGTGTGTGTGTGTGTGTGTGTGTGCGTGTGGTGGGGTGGTGGTGGTGCATGCCTTTAATCCCAGCACTTCAGAGGCAGGAGCAGGCAGATCTTTGTGAATTCGAGGCCAGCCTGATCTAAAAAGTGAGCTCCAGGACAGCCAGGGTTACACAGAGAAATCCTGTCTTGGGAAAACTACAAAAAAATAAAATAAAAATAAAAATCAGCTCCATTCTCTCCCACACAAAGTATGGCTGCACCCAACAACCTCCGCAGTGCACATTCCCAGAAAAAGAACCTTGCCAGCTCTCTGGGTTGGCAACCCACGGAGGCTTCCATCCCAGTTGGCAGTGACTGCTCTAGGCAGGGCGCTGGGAGGCCAGCCCTGTTGCGGCCCCTGTCGTGCCAGGAGCTGGTGGGTGGCTCACTGCCCAGTGCTCCCATGGGACAACACCTTCTGTGCCAGGCCAAGAGGGGAGTGGTTGATTTCCTTATTTTACCCACAAGGAAATGAATTTCTTCTCGGCCTGTCTCTCGGGAGCCAAGTGAGATAAGAAAGCGGGGCTGGTGGCCTCCTAATGACAGCAGCCTTCACTCTCCCTCGCCACAGAAGCTGTGGAAAGAGCACATAAAGTTCGTGTTTTGAAGAGAATTTTTTTATTAAATTTATTTATTTATTAAAGATTTCTGCCTCCTCCCCGCCACTGCCTCCCATTTCCCTCCCCCTCCCCCATCAAGTCCCCCTCCCCCGATCAAGTCCCCCTCCTCATCAGCCCAAAGAGCAATCAGGGTTCCCTGACCTGTGGGAAGTCCGAGGACCACCCACCTCAATCAATCCATGTCTAGTAAGGTGAGCATCCAAACTGCCTAGGCTCCCACAAAGCCAGTATGTGCAGTAGGATCAAAAACCCATTGCCATTGTTCTTGAGTTCTCAGTAGTCCTCATTGACCGCTATGTTCAGCGAGTCCGGTTTTATCCCAGGCTTTTTCAGACCCGGGCCAGCTGGCCTTGGTGAGTTCCCACTAGAACATCCCATTGTCTCAGTGTGTGGGTGCACCCCTCGCGGTCCTGAGTTCCTTGTTCGTGCTCTCTCTCCTTGAAGAGAATTTTTGAAGCCGGAGGACATAACCATCCTTACAGCTCTGGGCCTTTATGAATATACATCGCATTGTTTGTCTGTTTGTTTTCATACAGTGTCTCACTGTATAACCCAGGCTGGCCTAGACCTCACTAGTTAGCTCAGGCTGGCCTGGGATTTACACTGATCCCCCTGCCTCAGGAACCCAGGTGCTGGGATAACAACTGTGTACCATAAAGCCAAGCTTGCGTGTATATTTTATGGCAATGAAAGATTCGTATATATCTGTGCTCACATGTGTGTGCGTGTATGGTGTGAATCTGTGTGGAAGATATCAAGGATCTCCTTTTACTCCTCTCTGTCTTATGCCTGGAGACAGAAGACATAGGATCTCACCGGACCACATGCTCTCCCTTTTGGACAAGCTGGTTGACCAGCAAGCTCTCATCAACCCCCTGTCTCCACCTTCCAGCGGGAGATGGCATGCACAGTCATGTGGATGCTGGGGATTTGAACTCAGGTCCTCATGGTTTCAGAACAAGTGCTCTTTCCCATTGAGCCATCTCCCCAGAGGGCTCCAGTCCCTACAGGCACGCTTTTGTGAGATCAGCTGCTTTCACTTCGCTAGATTGGTGATTAGCTTCTAACTAAAACAGTTATAAATAGCCTACAGCAGGAGAGACTGTTGCCGACTGAGACAGTTATTACAGACTACAGCAGCATTGGCTGTCACCGGACTGAGACGGTTATTACAGACTACAGCAGTGTAGGCTGTCACCGAAACAGTTACAAGAGACAGCAGCGTTGATAGGTGACACTGTCAAGGTTAGTGCTGGGGGCTGAATGCGTTCCCCCAAACTCGTGGTGAATTCATTAACACCAGCTGGGCATCGTGGTGCAGGCCTATCATTCTAGGACTTGGGAAGTGGAGGCAGGAGGATCAAGAGTTCACAGTCATCCTTGGCTATATAAGGAGATAGAGGGCAACCTGGGCTACTAGAGACTTCATCTCAAAAAAAAAAATGCCATTGGGTCAAATTACAAGGCTAGACCTCGAAGAGGTGATTAGGCCACCTAATCACCGGGCAGATAAATGCCAGAATGGACTTCTAATAAATCAATGGGCTGGGCCCAACGCCTCTCTGCCTGCCGTCTGTTCTCGTTTCCTGCCCTGCTGTGATAGCACAGGTACCCTAGCCCAGTGCATGACATGCTCATGGCTTCCTAGCCTCCGGGACACAGACAGCAAACCTCTCTCGTTAATGTTTTGTTTAGTCTGTGGTATTCTGATATAGCAGCAGAAACGGATTAACACAGCTCTCCCGCTCCGCTTTCTGGTACCCGCAGTGTAGCTTGCTGTAAGGATCCCAAGGTAAAGGTCTGTGTGCCAAAAAACTCTTGTCTCCAGCCACACGTGTGATCTTGGCCTCGGATCTGACCCCACACATAAAATATTTCTTTGAATTAAAGCACTTGAAGCATTTAGGGGTTAGAGGCCCAGAGGGGCACTTAGTCTTTTGGCTTCTGGTATCTTTTCCCACAGGCCACCTGCTGTTGGGGGACTTTGGTCTTGAGATAGCCAAGGACCCTGCCTATCTCCTCTCCACTCCTCCCAGAAAACAAACAGATTCTTTTTGACAAATGAGGCTGTTCCCTCCCAGCCCACCCTGCAGCAACAGCTTCCTTAGAGGGACAGAAGGAAACAGGACAAGCTGGCAGGGGGGCGGGGGTGGGGAACAGAACGGTTTGGGCATCAGGGCCATGGTCAAGTCCCAGCTCTGTCACCTGCAAACTGAGTGACCATGGAAGGACACGTAGACTTTTCAGTTTCTTCATCTGGGAAGTGGAGCTCAGAGCATCCTGAGGACTATGGTGGCTCACTGCTTTGATTGCAATATTCATAGTGAGGCAGGAGGCTCACTATGAGTTCTAGACCAGCCTCCCTTACATAGTAAATTTCAGGTCCGCCTAAGTCATATAGCAAGATTTTTTTTTTTTCGAGACAGGGTTTCTCTGTGGCTTTGGAGCCTGTCCTGGAACTAGCTCTGTAGAACAGGCTGGTCTCGAACTCACAGAGATCCGCCTGCCTCTGCGCCACCATCGCCCGGCCGAGATTTTGTCTTGAAAAAAAAAATTCTTCTTAGGCTGGCTGTGAGATTTGTTTTGTTTTGTTATTTGTTTTTCAAGACAGGATTTCTGTCTTGGAATTCACTCTGTAGACCAGGCTTGCCGCGAACTCACAGAGATCTACTTGCCCTGAGTGCTGGGATTAAAGGCATGTGCCACCACTGCTCAAATGGTTGTGAGCAATTTTTAAATTTAAATTTTTAATTTTTGGAGGGTTGTTTGTTTGTTTTTTGAGACAGGGTTTCTTGTGTAACAGCTCTGGCTGTCCTGGAACTCACAGAGATCTGCTTACCTCTGTCTCCCGAGTGCTGGGACTAAAGGGGTATACAACACACCCAGCTAAATTTTAATTTTAAAAGCATATTTGTTACTTTTGGGATTGCTATGGCCAAAATATCTTCAAGACCAGCTTCATGGAGTGTGGTGGTTAATACTGACTGTCAGTTTTCGGGCTCTGGAATCATCCAGGAGACAGGCCACTAGGCACACCTGTGAGGAGCTATCGTGACCAGGCAAAGGGAAGTGGT